AATTCTATAAATATGACTATCTGAAGGTTGAATTCTATAAATATGACTATCTGAAGGTTGAATTCTATAAATATGACTATCTGAAGGTTGAATTCCATAATTATAACTATCTGAAGGTTGAATTCTATAAATATGACTATCTGAAGGTTTAATTCTATAGATATATGACTTTCTAAAGATTCTATAAATATGACTATCTGAAGGTTGAAAGATTGAAAGACAAGTCGTATTTTAGCTTCAAACTGTGTTTAATTATGATAGTTTTTCCATTGTTTCCTAAGGAAAAAAATGCGCAAATTCCATTTATCTATGATATTTATATATGAAAAAAATCGAATGAAAATAATCTTCTTTAAATAAATAAATAATCCGTAATTGATCAGACAAAAGTTTGAAGGCACCACTGTTCATTCATTGAAATTATATTTACAGTCCTTTAAATCTATTAAGAATTCAGAACTCGGTGGAGGTATATATAAATATATTATTAGATAACTATAAAGCTTCTCAGTTTTCATATTTATTAATATATTATTAGATAGATATATTCTTACTTGCAGACTAGTTCTCCAATCATCTCATAATAATCACAAGAACCACCATTCAAACAGAAACTAGGAATTGGACACTCTGACGCCTTTCGTATTAGACCTGAAAATAAACATTGTAAACTTGACATCCACTGTAAACTAGAAAATTGGTTTTGGAAACCCTTGGTAAAGTAAAATTCCCTTAACTTTCCCGTAAAGTGGTTGTAAATAATTAATATAGATCCTTAAATTAAAAGTGTCCCTGCAATGGATATCGATATCAAGAGATCAGAATAAAGAGTATCCAACAAATAAAAAAAGTTCCCTGTAGCTCCGATGTGGTAACGGAACAATAGGTTTAACATGTCTGTGTTGAAACATATTTTATATATTCCGCGGCGTGCTTGGTCCCAAATATTTTATATATTCCACTGCGTGCTTGGTTCCAAATATTTTATATATTCCGCGGCGTGCTTGGCTCCAAATATTCTATATATTTCGCGGCGTGATTGGTTCCAAATATTCTATATAATCCGCGGCGTGCTTGGTTCCAAATATTCTATATATTCCGCGGTGTGCTTGGTTCCAAATAAAGATCTATTGTGTGGATTAGAAATACTAGATGTGGAGAGTCTCCATTGACATGAGAATATTAATCGTCTTTGAGCTTTCATTGAAAAAGTTCAGACCAAAGGATGAGCGATGAGCTTTCTAAATTGTGGCCTAACCTCGTATATTGTTACTTTAAAAGAGATTTCACCTAAAGATAATAAATACCCTACAAACACAAAGCAGAGTTAAATCCGGATAAAAGCCGATTATTTTAAAACCAGAAACCGGATTAAAACCGTGTACAAAAAACGTTTTTAAGATGGTTTTACTGAGTGTTTTAAGACATCAAAAACAGGTTTTTAAATGGTTTAAAATCTTCTTTTTTTAAGAATAAAGTTGAGTTAAAATCGTTTTTTAACGGTGTGTTATTATCCGAGTATTTTAAAACGGATTTAATCCGTGTGTCATTACACTAATACCAGTTTTTTAAATGGTTTAAAATGGTATTTTTTATACTCGTTTTATATAACACCACTTAAAAACGCTTTACGAAGTTAAGCACCCAGGTTTTAGAGGTTTAATATCAGTTTTTTTTTAATACAGAAATAACCAGTTTAAAATAAAACTGATTTAAACTGGTTAAAAGACATCTTTATTTTGGTATAACATGAGAAAGTAGCGTTAGACACATCTGAACCCCTTAAAGAATAGAATTATAGTGTTCCTCCGAATTATTCTAGAGGATTTTCTAGGATTGTGTACTTTGTACTTTTCAAGAACTTCTACCCTTTCCTCCGAAGGTTGGAGATAAGATAAGGAATCTGAAACTAGAATTCAACCAAGCCTTCACATTTATTAGTCAGGGGCATTTACAGATATTCATCCAGGGGGTCGGGGAGGCTAAGAATCACAATTCCACCCTTAACAGGAATGGCTCCCCACCCCCTTTCCATGTAAGTCCATGTGTTTCTATTTACAAATATGTAAACTTCTGATGTTTTTAGGGACAAATTTATATGTTTTGGGTTTTTATAGACGAATATATATTTTCTAATTTTTCTATAGACGAATATGTATGTTTTGGGTTTCTATAAGAAGAATATATATGTTCTAAGGTTTCTATAAGAAGAATATATATGTTCTAAGGTTTCTCAAGACGAATATATGTATTCTAAGGTATCTCTTGACAAAAATATATGTTCTAAGGTTTCTCAAGACGGATATATGTATTCTAATGTATCTCTTGACGAAAATATATGTTCTAAGGTTTCTCAAGACGAATATATGTATTCTAATGTATCTCTTGACGAATATATGTTCTAAGGTTTCTCAAGACGAATATATATGTGTTCTAAGGTATCTCTTGACGAATATATATGTTCTAAGGTTTCTCTAGATGAATATATATGTTCTAAGGTTTCTCAAGACAAAAATATATGTTCTAAGGTATCTCTTGACGAATATATGTGTCCTAAAAGGTTTCTTTAGATGAATATGTGTTTTTTAAGGTTTTTCTAAACGAATATATGTGTTCTAAGGTTACTCTAGACGAATATATATGTTCTAAGGCTTCTTTACACGAATATATGTGTTCTAAGGTTTCTCTAGATGAATATGTGTTCTTTAAGGTTTTTCTTAACGAATATATGTGTTCTAAGGTATCTCTAGACGAATATATATGTGCTAAGGTTTCTCTTGACGAATATATGTTTTCTAATGTATCTCTAGACGAATATATATGTTCTAAGGTTTCTCTTGACGAATATGTGTTTTTTAAAGTTTTTCTAGACGAATATATATGTTCTAAGGTTTCTCTAGACGAATATATGTGTTACAAGGTTTCTCTAAAAGAATATATATTTTCTAAGGTATCTCTTGACGAATATATGTATTCTAATGTATCTCTAGACGAATATATATGTTCTAAGGTATCTCTTGACGAATATATATGTTCTAAGGTATCTCTTGACGAATATAATATGTTCTAAGAAAAATGAAATTGTTTATGTGACAAAATATATACTCATTACAAAATATTCATAGAAAATGTCTTTTATGTATGCAGTGAGACCATTATAAATAATTTATGCTAATAAACCGAGAAAATGCTTAAGATATTCCATTCGCACCAATTATGATATTGCCCTCTCTTATAATTCGAATAATGCTTGACATAACATATTGTTACACATGCTACGGTGGTAGGCGATTAAATCAATTTAATGAAGACGACTTTCGAATTCAATTTTGATTTATATTAAGCTTTTAAATAGCACATGGAAGCACAAAAACATGGAAACAAAGAGAAGTTGATAATTAAACAAATCTTCTCTAAAATTACTTGTAAGCTAAGAACTCGAAAAAAGCTTGTTAACAATTAAAACTCACATGAAAAAGTCGTCTTCATTTTATTGATATAATAGCTTACCACCGTTTAAGTTATTAATAAAGTTTTTTTTCTTTTTAGAAAAATTTTATGAAACGAAAAACTGAAATTATTCCGTTGTTTGATGATTATCATGTGGTAAAAATATTATATCCCTTCATTGCCCTGTAGAATTGAATAATCATTTTACATACAGGGTTACCTTCAAAGGATGAGACTACAGAGACGATTTTATGGAATTTATACTGTCTGTTTCCTTATATTCATGACACCCTGTAACTAACTTCTGTCTTTCTTTGCCAAAACATTCGATAAAACAATTCAAGGCCATATTCAGGACCGAAGAGTTATTTTAAACTTTGAATCGTCATATTTCAAGTGGTTCAAGTCGTCTTTACCGTCGCATCCTTTGTAACCCTGTAGCAATGGGCATACGGCCAAATTATTTTAAAAGTCCGTGGATCAATGTGCTTATTAAATTAAGTTTTAAAAAAAAAATCGGATGGAAGTAGACATTAAAGTCGAACGTTTTTCTATGTTTCTTTCTCATATGAAATGAGGGGGGGGGAGACAATTGTCAGAAACTGTTAGAAATGTAGCATAATTTCTTCCGAAAATTGCGAAGAAGAAGACGACTTTCAAAACTGTGTAGCACAAGAATTATTTTCTAATGTTATACCGGACCTGCTTGTCTGACAACGACTAGAGAAGAGGAGAGCGAGGATCCAACAAGATTACTCGCCTACACAACAAGATGGATAAACCTTATTTAATAAAGAAAGATTGGGAATAAAAAAGAAACATAAAAGAAGACGACATTTTGAAATATATTACCTGACAAGTGTATGTTCCTGCGTCTGAAGCTGACATTCTACTAATGAGTAAACGAGAACGCTTTCTAGAATATATTTGGATTAAAAATTAAAATTACAGGGTTACCAACACAGATGAGATTTCAGAGACTATAGTACGGAACTTATTGTTATCTGTTAATAATATTATTATCTGTTTTCTTTTTTTATGATTCCTTCCATGCTGAATTAACTTGTTTTTTGCCCAATCATTAAAATCTATAAAAAGACCAAAGGTTACATTTAACTCATCCTTTGCAGGTAACCCTGTTTGCTTGTTTTCAAGAATAATAAATGAAGATAGTCTAACGGATTTAAATGGTTTTTTCTATTTGCCTAAAAGATACTACAGACCTAATTTCAAGTGACCCTTCATTTGAAGACATGCCAGCCCTTTAAACCTTTGTATAATCATTTCCAGCTTCCAGGTTAAACATATTTAATCAAGTAATCTGGTTTCTCTATTTTAGGGACTTGCGGATCTAAACTGCAGGGACAATGTCAAAATTCATTAAGTTTGTAGAAAGAGAAACGACGATATCTTCATCATTTTTACTCCGTGGAGGTTTAAAGGGTACTGGGATTCGGACATGCTACTGTATAAAGGGACCGGCAATGTATGGTAGTTCAACGGATAATGTAGAGTTGTAGAGAAAGAATTTAGTATTCATTTGAGACATATTGAACGTTTTAATAATGTATAATTACTGAGTTTGAGTGCATTTGGATGGTTTCGTCTTGTTCTTAGGTATCTCTAGACGAATATATATGTTCTAAGGTTTCTCTAGACGAATATATGTGTTACAAGGTTTCTCTAAAAGAATATATATGTTCTAAGGTATCTCTTGACGAATATATGTTAGATCTCTAGACGAATATATATGTTCTAAGGTATCTCTTGACGAATATATATGTTCTAAGGTATCTCTAGACAAATATAAATGTTCTAAGGTTTCTCTAGACGAATATATGTGTTACAATGTATAATTACTGAGTTTGAGTGCATTTAGATGGTTTCGTCTTGAGAATCGATTTTTAAAAATTTATTAAATAACAATGACAAAATTTAATGCACCATTAAACAAATTATATGTTTAGGAAAATGTTGACTCCTATATAAGAAGTCTTATTCAGTTATTTGTTTCTCTAATGTCTCATTGTTCACAAACGTTGCAGATTTCCCAAAAAAATGAAAAGAGGACATTAGAATAATTTGAAGAAATCTGCGAACAAATTCGTAAAGAATAAAAAATTATTATGATGATGAAAAAGAAATAATTGATTCTAACTTTGATTTATTGTCAAATTTCTATTGAGAAATATGCTCCTAAACATTTAATTAGCTTATTGTCGATTTTTTTTTTACTTTTTTGTAGTCGTTATTTAATAATTTGAAAAAAAATCGACTCTAAAAATGTTCCACCCAAAAGGATGATTAATTGAACGTCGGCTTTGCACTCAAACTGAATAATCATACATCATTAAACGTTTTATATGTCTCAAATGAATCCTAAAAATTTTTCTCCACAATGCTACATTCTCCGTTCAACTACCATACATTATCGGTCACTCCCTTTAGATGCATAGAGTCACTTGAATTTGTGATTGTGACTGTAATATTACTAAAGATTGTTTTATATTTTGCTAACTTAAATGTAAACATGTTTGCTTACTTTTTGGTTTGAATGTGTACATTTTGTGAGGGATTTAGTTTCCTTGAATCCTTGAACCATGATATTGCAGGAGGAGGGTGCAGAGGTCCGGAGAGTTTACATTTTAGTTTTAAACTCCTCCCAGATCTAACTGTTCGGGACGGAAGAGGCTTCACAGACGGAACACTCACTGAAATAAAAATCATAAAAAATCAGGAATAATCTTTTTATACTTTCTGTTTGTCTGTAGATATATACATCCATAAAACTCCAAAACTTCTTATTCGATCTCGGGCCAAAATCTTAAGATGAAGAAGAATATAAGAAATAAAATTACAGCTTCTATAAATCATGAATGTAAGAAGAAAATGTGTACAGTTGTCTCTCAAGTTTTAAACTTCGTGTTGTCTTTGTAACAGAAATTTAAAATCTTCGATTAAAACTAAATAAATAGGGTAAAAACTTGTTCAAATTTTGTAGAAAATAAAAAAAAACTGTTCGTTTCTAATTAAGAATATTTACATTTTTGAAAAAATATTCTATAAAGCAGCTTTTTAAAGCCTTCGGAAGAAAGATCTATCTTTTGAGTCAGAATCAGCAAATTCTTTACTTATATAAAGTTGTAATCTCTGTTTTTCCGATCATAACTCAGCAACCCCTGGACAGATTTGCCTCACATTTTGATTGGGGTACTCGGGAGAACCACGGGAATGTTCTTAGCTTGGTTTTGATATTCTAAATTGAGTGGGTGGACATAAATAGTGAAAATTTAATTTGCCGGTAAAATCGTTTAAGTGCGGGTAAACGGCGGGAATAACTTTTAGTAACCTGGGCAGCGCTGGGTTCCCAAGCTAGTTTCTTTTTAAAGTTTTGCTATCCTGTGTTCTTTACGTTAGATATTTTAAATTTTATAGAGAAATAATAAACTTTCATGATGCATATTTAATTTAAAAAATCAATAAGTTTTAAAGTGTCTGTCTCACATATGCATTTAAGCATGTTCATTGAATTGAATAATTTTGCATCGTGTGTAAAAAAACATAATATAAACAATAAACAGTGTACTGCACTTCTGAAAATTATTTATTAATCAATAATCTGGAATAATAAATATACAGAATACGAAAAGAGAACTGCAGAAACATGCACAATGCACGTCTTGGTAATAAAAAGAATATCATCATATCCATAAGAATTTTTAAAAATGGAAAAAACGATAATTTACGATATGTTTAGTTAAAAATTAAAATATATACATTGTACAGCAGAATATATTCTAAATTGTAGTTTACGATATGTTTAGTTAAAAATTGAAATATATACAGTGTACAGCAGAATATATTCTAAATTGTACAGTTTTCAATATGCTTAGTTATAATTATATACAGCTAATTTTACAGGGAAGTTAAGGAAATTTTTTTCAGCAAGGGTTCCCAAGACCAATTTTGCCTACTAAACATCCAGAGCGCATCGAGAGATATTTGTAGGCAAATTTTATCGTCTTTTGAGGTGCAAATGCGTTAATTCTTTCACGAAAACTTCGCCGAGCGGGTCGTTATTTTACTTAATTGTTCCCAAGGGACGATAAGTAACTTAATGCCCCTCTGTTTGGGGAATCATAGGTCGGTAATGTTGGTCAAAAAGCGGTGAAAATATACACAGTATACAAAATATACTCTAAACTGTATAGTTTACAATATGTTTAATTAGAATATATATACAGTCTACAGAATATACTCTAAATTGTACAGTCTACAATATGTTTAGTTAAAATATATACAGTGTACAGAATATACTCTAAATTGTATAGTTTACAATATGTTTAGTTAAAATATATACAGTGTACAGTATACAGAATATACTCTAAATTGTACAGTTTACAATATGTTTAGTTAAAATATATACAGTGTACAGTATACAGAATATACTCTAAATTGTACAGTTTACGATATTTTGAGCTAAAATTTTCTGTGATAAAAAATATTGATGGGTTGAAGATGATTGACTTAATGAAGCCCTGAATAGCGGGTAGTAAAGTAAAAAGTGTGCGAGGGACCAAATATTGAATATCAAATATATTTTCATATCTGACATTTCCTTACTTTCATTTTAAATCGGAGTTGAAAATTTAAACGTTTTACAGGGTGTACAATGTACTGTGTACAGTGTATCTGCAGTGTACCAAGCAAGGATGTAATGCAAGGCAAGTTATTTCAGAAGTGTACGCATCTTTTGTACTGCAGTGTACTGTCTCTGGGCGGTAATGTAAACACAAGACGGATGTCGATGCCTGACATGGGATCCATCTTTCACATAAAAAAATCAATGAAATATTCTGGTCAAAGGAAACTATTATGTGAATTATCAAAATTATCAAAATTTAATACTTTTAACCTCCTCGGATACTAAACGAAAACTGAAACATCTATTCTTGTTTACAAATTCCGCCCAGAGAGAACTGGTTTCAATATGTACGCAGAGTATACGCGACAGCAATGAACTGTCCTTGCATTACAACCTTGGTACCAAGGAACTATATACAGGGACGACCAACCCAGATATACGCAAATTGTGTTCTGTCCTCTGTGGGAGGAATGTAAACAAACCCAGTGCCCCCACAGAAGTTGAAGGGAAAGGACATACAGCTCTGATGTGATATTACAGTCCAACAAAAAACAAGTTAATATATCAAGTTAGAGCGAATACTTATGATTTTTGGCTTTCTGGTCAATATGGAAAATACAATAGCAATATATTCTTATTCTTTTTTTCTCTCAAAAATGATGCGCTGCCCCTGAATTCTTTGTTTTGATCTCCTCCCACTGCAGTACACAGATTTGACGCATGAGATATGGTGGTTCCTGGTCTATATATTCCTTGAACCTAACTAAGCTTTCGGTGTGTACTGCAGTGATGTGCAGTTCTCTGACCTAATACATAATAGGTTTGGAGGAGAGTGATGTACTATGTTCGTATACATTTCTCAGAGTGTCTTAACCTAAACTCTTTTTACATTTTTCCCATCAGATGTCCAAAAATAATGATTTTTCTCCTATCAAGATTTGAGAACAATTAAATTGATAAGTTTAACAGGGTGTTCTGAAAAAAAATCGAATTTCCTCAAAAATTTCAGCAAATTTTGTCCAGCCTTTTGGCCAGCTATAGCTAACATAAATATATCTATATATACATATAGATATAGATATATAGATATATAGATATATATATATGTGTGTATATCAACTAAGAGCTTTATTTTAAAGATAAAGGGTGTTAAATCTGATAGATTAAAGTTATAACAACTTCTTAAGATCTCAGTCCATATCAAAGCAAACTTCATTTTGAAAAGAATATTATACTTAATGTTTCAAGTACGTCTTATATATAAAGTAGCAATCTCTGTTTGGTTAGAAGTTCGACCATGACTCATTAAAACTGAACCGATTTGCCTCAAATTTTGATTGAGGTACTCGGTATACCCACGGGAATGTTCTTAAACTGGTTTTAAAATTCTAAGCTGGGTGGGTTGACTTTAAAAAGAAAAACTCCAAACAAAGCTAGGTTTTCAAGCTGGTATCTGGATAAAGTAGTAATCTCTGTTTATTTGTTAATTGAGTTGACTTTTCTAGGGTAAACTAAGTTTCCAGGTAAAGCTGGGTTCCCAAGGTAGACTTACTTTTTTATTAAAACCTAACTTGGGACCCCAGCTTTCAATGTAGTTTTTGGATAAAACAGTTGTAATGCCTGACCGAGAAATTGTGCTTTAAAAACCTCTTTAAAAACACGGAGAAAAAAACTTTTCTAATAATGAACTGTTTACAATTGTTAAGCTTGGTGTAGTTTATCTATAAATAAAGAAATTAAGTCACAAATTATCACAACCTAAAATTTTCAATCCAAATATCTTTTCAATCTAATGTGTTAGTCCTTCAATTCTGTTCTATCAAAACCCATGCAGTTGTTTCAAATATCAACGGTTTACCCCATCAGAATGCAAAGATTTAGAATTTAGATTATTTGAGTTTGTGGCATTAAGACTCTATTCCTTTGCTATTTCTGTGGGTTGGTTTGTTAGTTTGGTTGAAAACGGCTGAACCGATCAAACCCAAATATTTTGTGAAACCTAAAGACTCGAGGGTTTGATAACCAGTCAGGATTAAAATATTAATCCAAATATAGTGTTGGTTTCATTAATTTTAAAATCAACAAAAAAATAAGAATATTTCTTTTTTTGTTATTTTTTTGTAAGATGAAAACATGGTCCCAGGTAAAGCAACATTTAAAAATGTCTTTTTTACTAGAAAGATGGACGTTAGGCCACCTTAAACAAAAAATATATTTACAAATACATTGTTCTATTGGTTGCATTCTTGTCTTAAAAGTTAAAATACGAGATATATTCCTTCTTCTATTCAACAAATTCAATTCAAACACAACAAAACAAATGTCAAACAAGTTTTTACTAAACCAAAATCCGGGAAAGACAGGAACATATCAAAACTCATTTATTTGACCTACATAGCTAGCAGGAAACCAGACTTTAGTTTTATTCATAGAAATTTTAAAACCTTTATTATATAAACATACAAATAAAGCTGGGCATTATAATTGTCTGTTTTCAGACATTCAGAGCCGAATTTAAAGAATTTGAGCGGAGTTCACATTTGAGATTGTATTCAGTGTTTTGAGATCTGAGCCGACGCTAAACTGTAACCGGTTATGGGCGGTTCAGCGGCGCGGTGTAAATTCTTTAAATTCGGCATCAGGATTTTTATTTGACTTTCAAAGGACTCTTAAAAATCGATCTGAGATTGAGAAGTTCAAAATATCAAAATCGTATTTTTTAAAGTTTGCTTATATTACGCTATGCAGAATCCTGGACTCTGGCAGAAGATAAAAGATTGATCGAATGATGTTTCAAACGATCGAACTATTGGGTTTGCTTCGTTCAGATTATATATTCTATCAGGGTTAAAAACTTGTATAAATTAATATTAATAAAAATATGATGGAAAAGAACATTTTGAATTACATTTAACTTCGTAGATATTTTAGAGACAAAAATACATAATCATATTTAAAAAAAAAAAAATAAGGATACAAGTTCAAACAGAGAACTTTTTTTCTGATCTAAGTTCTCCTCTTTAGTCATCTAACACTCCTTGTAAAGCTTTTATTAAAATATTAATA